AATAGGATGTTCTTGAATGATTATGAGTATAGAAAGGAAGGAATCAATGTTATATATCATTGTGTAGGTGGGTGTAGTGCCGAGTATTCATAGTATTTCTAGAAACACTATGCGTATACAGATTATACAAATTACACAAATACATTTCCATCATACTAATACTTGAATACTCAACCAATCTACCTACTCCACATTCCTCCACTCCTCTCTCGCCTTAAACCCAAACATCTTCACCGCCGCTTCCAAACTCTTCTCAATCGTCGCACTCCCATATTCCCTCATCTCCTCTTCGTATATTTTGATTCCATCTTTCACACCCCTTTCCTCAAGCAACCGCACGAGATTCCCCGCATCGCGCAACGCGGTTACGCAGCCTGATGCGCCGGTGGGAGGCATGGCGTGTGCGGCGTCGCCGAGGAGGGTGATGGTGGGGATGGTGGGCCAGGTGGGGAGGGGAGAGGGATGAGTGGAGATGGGGAGGAGGGAGGTTTGAGAGGGGGATTGGTGGGGTGAAGAGGGGGTGGAGGGAGGGGTGGAAAGTGGGAGGTTAGGGATTGGGAGAGCGGGTGGGGAGGGAGGGGGGTGGGGAGGCGAGCGAGATCGGATTCTTGGGTTGAGGTTACCCAGTAAGATGTAAGGGTGGGGGAGGGCGATGGGGAGGGGAGGGGAGGAGGCGGTGGGGAGTTTGAAAGTGATGGGTTCGAGGAGGGTGGTGGAAGGGATGGGGCCGTGGGGATCGCGGATTATGGACATGCTTTTGAGCATTTCGGGTGGGAATTTGTCTGTGAGTTCGGTGGAGAGAGGAGTTTTGCCATAGATGATACGACCGCCTGTGTCGAGGGGAATGTGGGATGGGAGGAATTGTTTCCTAACGCGGGAGTGAACGCCATCGGCGCCGATGAGGAGAGTACCGGTTGCGGAGGTGGTGTCCGAAAAGGTGATAGTTATGGAGTCGCTGTTGTTTGTCGTGTAATGGGAGAATTCTTTTCCGAAGGAAACGTGATTTTCCAATCCTGTCAGGAGAACATCGCGGAAGACGCGACGATCAACTGTACGAGCATTTCGAAACATGGGAGGGGGTCCTTTGCCAAATTGTTGGGGTTGAGGAGGGAGGATTTCGCCCGTCAGAGGATCTGCTTGGGAGCCGGGCCCTAGACGCATTTCGGCGCAGGTGTCTTCAAATAATTGATAGATGTCATCGGGTAGACATTGTTGGAGGGCATCAGTTCCCTCGGAATGAATCCGGATCCGATAGCCTTGCAATCTGTAATCTGATGCTTGGTCTCGCTCGTAGACGTGGAAATCTATGCCGGCTTTTTTGAGACCTTGAGCTAGACAGAGACCGCCGAGGCCGGCTCCTGCTATTAGGACTTTGGGTTGTGACATTCTTGAGTTGGTATGTTCGATGGAGGAGGTACTTGCGATGCAATTTAACGTGTTGCCAGTTTAACACTGCAAAAGACAATGATGACGATAACGACAGCGATAATTCAAAGTTGAATTGAAATTATGATAAAAGTTGAGAAGTCGAGGAAGCTGATGTTGAAAGTATTTGTACTCTCCCTATATCCATACATCAAGGTAGAACTATTCCTCAAATAGACATCTCTGTTGCCTGCTGCACATCTGTTAAATCCGTATTGTGACAATAACAAATCGGTGCCGTCGACATAAAGTCGGTCCCGTTTTAATACACGGAACCGATCTAGCTTGTGCATAGAAAGGGATTGCAGGGACAATGACACCGAGATGAAGTGAGCTTGGATCAGATGGTGCTTGAAGACATCAAGATATCAGTAGCTTATGTCCGGCCGAGAAATCACCGTGGATATAAGCTGTTTGGGTGTATGATTGGGTTGTGATACTTGTTGCTCGAAAGACTTGGGCATATATAAACTGTTATAAACCTCTCACATTCAACTGACTTGAGTTACTGGAGAAGTTCTAATTATTCAGATCATCTTTGGGTCATGAGTGACTTTCACATGTCAGGTGCACCTTGTCCGTGTGTCTTGGAATCAATTTGGACGATTTTGATTTCGAATGGCCACACTCATGGTATTTCTAACCACCTAAAACCCATTTGGAAATCAATCACCAAATCGGCCAAAGAACACGGATATCCTCATTAGGAAGAGATGACATAGGTATTGTGAAATTTTCAGGTCACGCCTAGATAATAAAAAGTCTGTGGTGTACTTTCCTACCTAATAACATCTTATCAAATGAGATGATGCGATGCGATGCGGCAAAAGCTGTAGTCCACGCTTTCCAGCACGTTTTTGCATTCTGGACTGCACATGGAAGAGGTGGTTGCTTTTGTGGTCATGCTTTTTCTTTGCTTTTTCGACATTTTTTTCAGCACAGGGCTGGCTGGGCTGGGTATGTCTTGGATTGCCCCTCTTCGGATGTGAGATTGAGGGGCAAGGCTTTGATTTTAGGATTTTAGGATTTTAGGATCCATCATCGGAAGGGGTGATGGAGAGATGGATATCTTTCTGTTATTGTGTGGCGGTTTATTCGAGGAATGAAGATGTCAAATAATTGATGGATGGGAAAGGATTGGGAAGGATTCCGGGATCGGTGAGGTTACTGGTGTGGCTTGTAAATTGATGGAGAAATGGAACAGGGATGCTATGCAGAGACAGCATCGATGGCGGGCTACCTTTATGAGGGTAGAGGTTTCGATGTGTTTGATGGGTATACTGGATGTTAATAGATATGGGGATTCAAGTGAAAGGGTTGAGCAGAGATGGAATGAGGAGATGAATTATTTTGATCGACTTGGACGAGCGATGAATGAGTGTTGCCCAGGTGAGTGTTGAATGTACGAAGGGGGAGTGAGGGGTACATTCTCGCTAGTACGAATGGAAGTGCTGTGTAGCATTCCAATTTGAAGTCTTTGGTTCTTCGTTTTTATATTGAGTCTTGAAATTTGTAGAGAGAATTAGATATTAGTAACTCTATTTGAAATGAAATGTATACAAGCATTAATATCCAGGCACGAAGAAAGGTATCATCTATTGCAGGTAGTAAGTAGATAGATCGACATCTCCATTGATATTTTATTTACGCTTTTACCCCTCCTCCCCTTCTCCCCTCTAAGATGGCGTTCCCGAAGCCCCTTTAGTCTGAAGAGATTAAGTTGTTGAATTGCCGCCCCCCATACTTTCTTTGGGTTTGGAGGGAATGCCCAGGTGATTCTAGGTACTCCTAGGTAGGTAACTCGATGATATCAGAATTTATCCAAGTCTCCATTCGTGTTCAACAATCTAGATTCGATTGTAGTTGAAATCTAGACACTTTACAGGTTTTGAACATTGCAGGTGGTATTCGATCTTTTGAGCACAATAGCCAGGCATTAGATAGAATTTATGATTTTAACATAATTTAGCAAATTCGATTCATCATCACATCATCACATCATCCATGAAAATCATCTAACTGGGGGCTCCAGCCTTTCAATCTTTCTATCCTTTCCTCTTCCATCCTCTCCCATCCCCTCCTATCCATGATCTATCTCAACCCATCTCTTATCCATCCATACCTACTACATTCAATACACGGCGAAAAACTACTACACCGTATGATAGATATCCTTTCTCTCCTTTCATTCAGCCTTCTTCTCAATAATCCTCTGCAGCTTGATCCATTCAATTGATGTAATGCTCCATAATTGATTCACCGAAATCTTGATGTGTACCAGGCGGTATATGGATTTTGAATAGATTGAAATGGGATATTAATGATTGATGGATTCTTGATTCTTGTTATTGTTCTTGTTCTTGTTCATGTTCTTGTTCTTGTTCTTGTAACAGACATTTATTATTTTTCTCTTTACTTGGCTATATTTCAATTCCTTCCGATATCTTGATACCTTCCCCCTCTCATCTTATACCCCCCTTATATGTTAGTTATCATTAGGAACTTTTACCATATATATTTCTATATACTTATTAAACCCCAGATAAAATACCTAGATTGTGTTACATTATTCTTTGACCATTATCGATTCTTACCTACCTCCCTGTCTATCTACCTATTACTCTATAATTAATCACATCAATCCAATAGGAGGCATAGGTGATATTATATATTACCTACATTACCTACATTACCATCTAGAAAGATCAATCTGAGATTTAGATTAAAAACCACCTCTAACCAACCATCTTTCAATTTTGGCTAGAGAGGCAAAGATTCGAGAAAATCAATTCATCAAAACCATCTGGACTGGCTGGACTGGCTGGACTGGCTGGGCACCCAAATCGCCTAAGAAAAGAATATACATACTGTGGGAACATACCCAGTCGCTACCTGCCTACCTACTACGTACAGTACAAACACATGGATGGATAGACAGGCTCGACAGGACAGGAAACGACTTAACTTTATTTAATTTTTGGGTCGAAGCGGCCCCCTCCTATCAATTCGTCATAATTTGGCGGGAAGCAAAGCAAGCAAGCAAGTATAAGCAAGTAAGCAAGCAAGTTAAAATTTGACTATCCACTCACTGGAACTCCTCCTCCTCCTCTTGATTACTCGAGTATCAATTTACGACTACTTGATATTACTACTATTTTACTACTATTACTACTATTGATACTATTACTACTATTACTGCCACCACCATCAACTCCCATCTCCATCTCCACCTCCACCTCCACCTCCTCCACCACCTGTAAATAAAATATTCAAGACCTTTTTGGAAAATATTACCCAGTACCGGCCTGCTAGCTAGGTACATATATGGCAAACAGTTTACACCTGCCCGCCTGTCTATCTACCTGCCTGTCTACTATCTAGTACCTACCTACCTATCTACCTATCTATCTATTACTAGTTATCTATACCTATACCTACCTATCACTACTACAACAACTACTACTCCGACTACATCTATTCCTACACCTCTTCAATCGATTCCATTAACTTCTTCACCTCCTACTACTTTCTCCTCCCTCCTCCCTCCTCCCTCCTCCCTCCTCCCTCCTCCCTCTGACCTACCACCCACCTCCACTTCCAAATCCACTCAGAAACAACTCCACCAACCAGACTAAATACCACTACCAATACCAATACCCTTTGACTATCTATCATCCACACCCATTCTCCCTCCGAATCCTTTCCCTTTCTCCATCAACAAAACCAGTCAATCAATCAATCACTCACTCACTCACTCAATCCACTGCAAAACAATTCACCAATACACTACTACCCTCCAAATTCCACCCCAATTTCACACTAACCCACCATCGAACCACCACCACCAACCCACAACCGAATAATGAACGGCGATCGGATAAAGGCGTCTGCAATTGCTAAAGCGAAAGAATCGATAACTAAAAATTCAAATGCGCATGCTATGAAAAAAAGAAAGAAAGACTCATTGAAGCCAATCATCACAACCGAGCAAGACTCTGAATCTTCCAAAATGGCTTCTGCTCAAGCCCGTGCAGGGTAAGTCACCAAAAATGTCCCACTTTCTGACCTTCCAACCCTCCTTCTGTGTTTAAGGTGCAGCGCCTCAAAATATAAACCACCCTCCCCTCCAACAAGGTCGCGCAAAAATGCTGCTGCACTCTACTTAGTTTCATTCACGATGATGAGTTCAATGCTTCAAAACTTGCTGACTAGAATCGATGATGGAAATAGATCCGCTTCAGGAACAAATCGCGATCCGTCATCCTCTTCCTCGAGAGAAGACGCTGCAGAAACGACGGCAGACGAAGAAGACTCTGAAGATTACTGCAAAGGAGGTTATCACCCCGTACAAGTCGGTGAAAACTTCAAAGATGGCAAATACACCGTGGTTCGAAAGTTAGGATGGGGTCATTTCTCAACAGTATGGCTTTCCAAAGACAACGTCACTCAGAAACATGTTGCTTTGAAGGTTGTACGATCTGCAGCGCATTACACGGAAACGGCCATAGACGAAATCAAATTACTCAATAAAATCGTGGGTGCTAAGCCAGATCATCCAGGTCGAAAGCATGTGGTTAGTTTGTTGGACTCTTTTGAACACAAGGGTCCAAATGGCACACATGTCTGCATGGTCTTCGAGGTTCTGGGAGAGAATCTGTTGGGGTTGATCAAAAGATGGAACCACCGCGGAATTCCCATGCCTCTGGTTAAACAAATTACAAAACAGGTTCTGTTGGGTCTGGATTATCTACATAGGGAGTGCGGCATTATACATACAGATTTGAAGCCCGAGAACGTCCTGATAGAAATCGGAGATGTGGAACAGATTGTGAAAACATTCGTCAAGGAGGATACGAGTAAGGACAAGGAAGATAATAGAAATGGTCGAAGGAGACGGCGAACTCTCATTACTGGAAGTCAACCTTTACCAAGTCCGTTGAATGCCAGCTTCAACCACGCAGATTTGATGAGGTTTCCTGGCAGTAATCCAGGTTCCCATGGAAGTATAAATGAAATGCTCAATAATAGTAAATATACTCCATCGGAAATCCCTGGCAATGGACAGCAATCTAATGGTTGGTGCAATAGGTCGTTCGAACAATTCTTCACCTCAAAAAGAAAAGGCAGATGAGGAGAATCACGGGACAAGAGAAAAGACTGCGTAAGTAGTTACCTTCATGTCATCATATACCGCCCCTAACTTGATTCTAGCGATATCCTCACAGATAAGGTCTCGGGCATATCACTCGACAAAAACTCGGGCGAAAAGAAGAAGGCAGAGGATGCAAATCAATTCGATATCATATCAGTCAAAATTGCCGATTTGGGAAATGCTTGCTGGACTGGACATCACTTCACAAATGATATTCAAACAAGGCAATATCGATCACCAGAAGTTATACTGGGCTCCAAATGGGGTGCTTCTACAGATGTTTGGAGTATGGCTGCTATGGTATGTTGATGCACTTGCCCTTTCCCAACACTATAGCTGATTTTTACAATCATTAGGTCTTCGAACTTATCACTGGTGATTATCTTTTCGATCCTCAATCCGGGACCAAATATGGCAAAGATGACGATCACATTGCTCAAATAATCGAACTCCTTGGACCCTTCCCCAAATCCCTTTGTTTATCTGGCAAATGGTCACAAGAAATATTTAACCGAAAGGGCGAACTGCGAAATATCCACCGATTACGACATTGGGCCTTACCGGATGTCTTGAAAGAAAAGTACCATTTTAAAGAAGATGAAGCGAAGAGAATTGCGGAATTCTTAACTCCCATGTTGGAGTTGACACCGGAGAAGAGGGCAAATGCTGGAGGAATGGCAGGTGCACCGTGGTTGGAAGATACAGCCGGTATGAAAGGGGTGAAGATTGAAGGCTTGGAAGTAGGGAGCAAGGGCGAAGGAATTGAGGGGTGGGCATATGAAGTCAGGAAGAGATAAGAACTCGCGAGGTTCGAGAATGATAGAGTGTAGGAATTCCTTTCTCATGAAACTCAGGCGCAGATGATTGGGGTGGGTTGGGTGATGGGTCATCTGTTGGTGGTCATCTTATGGGATTGGATTCGCGCAATTAAAGTCTAGGGTGGATGGGATGGATGGGGCGGTGCCATTTGTCATGCATGTAGTATGGTATCACGAACCACGACTTTTTTTTCTTCTTCACATATTGGTTTGAATGAGTCGTGAGATGAGATATGAGATGAGATGAGATGGTGGAGGTGGAGGTGGAAAACGACAATGGAAATGAGATGGGATGGGATGGGGATAGGATGCTATGGATGAATGTCTGTATGTACGTATGGATGAATGGTATGGACTGGACTGGGAAAGGAGGAATGAATGAATGAATGGATGGATTCTTGGGAGGAGGATAGGTAAAGGGAAAATTTATATGATGTGAAGGAGATATTTATCGTGTCTTGATATTAAATACGCTCTTGATAAGTGATGATGATTAATTTGAGAGTGGTGAGTGGTGTGGAGGATGTTTTAGCTTATGGGGTGTTGGGATAGGTTGGTAGGTAGTAGGTAGGTAGTAGATAGGTAGAAAATATACAGGACGATTTTTAGATGGTTGTATATATATGTATTGGATGAATATGTTTGATCTGGATGCGGATGCGGATGGGATGGGGTTATTTGGATGTGTGAGTTTGTTAGTGTGTATGTGTGCTTTACGATATGTAACATGTAATATGTAATGGGTGATTTGGAATTTGATTCGAACAGTAGGGAGTAGGGAGTAGGGAGTAGGGAGTAGGTAGGCTGGCTGGCTGGATGTTTTCTTCTTTTGTTGTTTCGTGCTTGGTGTTATGTGTAGTATACGCATATATACACATACACCTACACCTACACATACATATATACATATACATATACAAACACACACATATATAATATAAAGTACGCTAGCATATAAAATGAAATAACAAGCTAGCATTGCACTTCCTTCACAACTCCTAACTCCTTGACTCCTGTGCTGGCTAATATTGTGGTATCTAGGTAGGACGATATAAAGAACCTGCTTCGTGCATTCCCACCCACCCATCCACCCATCCATGTATTCTGGTCTCTTTCCTCTCCTATCCTTTCTTTTCCTTTCCCATCCAACCTGCCACCAAAATATCAAGAAACTATCCCAAGCCATGTTTGATCTCGCTACCCCTGATTACCCAAGTAAAACTCTATCCCAAATATCTCCTATCTCCCTTACTTGGACTTCTCCCCTTACTCCTCCCGCGATTCTTACTCGGACTCCTCTCGATGGTTTTAAATTCCATTTCTCGCTCCCGATTTCCAAAAGTGCTTCTCTGGAATAGAGCTCTTTGAGCAGTTCCTGCTCCGGTGGGCCAGGGTTCATAAGGACCGAAATGCGATTGAGGGGTTTGGGGGATGCCCCAGGGATTGGGTTGCCCGAAATAGTTGGGGTGTTGGGGGAGATGTTGCTGAGGGTGAGGTTGGGGTTCGGGGTGAAAGATGGGGGGTTTAGAACGGAACATTCCAAAGGCCATGTTGTTTACGGCGATGGAGAGGGTGAAGATTAGGGCGACGAAGATCTAGAGGTGGTTGTTAGTTTGCGGATAGAAGAGGAGGTAGGGGGTTGTAGGAGTGAACGTACCATGGCTTTATAGCTGATAGGCTGGATGAAACTATCCAAAATCTCTGCGAATGTTTTCGCACTGATTCTAGCTCTTCCGACAGCATTGGGATCCATAGACATACAGGCATCCCAGTTATTACAAACAGTTTCTAAAGCAGGTAGTCTCATGCTTGGTTCACATTTATTTTCTGTGTATTGTTTTGCGCAGTTGGCCATCTCGGATAGAACTTCCGCGGTGGCTTTTTGAGATGCTTGATCAACGTCGCTTCGGATTGTAGTCCAGAATGTGTAAACCCCAAACATTATTAGTCCGACGACGAAAGTGTTGAGCGTTAATTGAGCGTAGTAAGAGAGAATGTTTGGAAGATTGGGTCGCGACTCGATACCGGATAGGAAGGAGGAGAACCAGCCTGGTGTGTTGCCCGCTTGCCTTCCTTTGGTCGATCGACTATTTGGTCTTGAATCTCCTGATTCGCTCTCTGATTCCGAAGCCGATTCCTTCCTGTGATGTCGCACTATCCCCATCGTTTCATCTTCTCGTTCATCCCGATGCTGACGCTTTCGCTTTTTAGCTATAGGTTGACCTCCTAACTTCATTCTGCGCAAATCATTACGAGCGCCAGGACTGGTTCCTTTGTAGTTTGTGCCATATTTGCCAAATAGCGGTTTGCGTGAAGAAGCATTTGATGAGAAAGCCGTCATAGTTTTGCTGGAGGTTTTGGGTACTTCAGGTGTATCTTCTGCGTCGGCAGTCTCGCCGGGGGAAGATTCAATTCCCGAAGCTTCGGAGTATATATCTGAATTGTATGGTTTGCGGGGTGTTGTGAATGCTGGATTTCGAAATGCTGGAGCTGGTGTGGAGTTCTGTGCCAGAAAAGAATTGGTTGGTTTGGCAGAATCTAATTGCCTTATTAGTACACATGTTACTGTTTGTTCGATGGTACGAAAGTGAAGACACTCACTGTTATCAAGCTGCATAGCTTTGAATTGTAGAAACGGTGATTTTGGATCCATAGGGCCACCTTTCTCCTGCCATTCAAAGTCCATAGGACCTTCACCTGTCCTTCTAGAAGTGTTACTCCACATTGTATTTCTTTGCTCGTTGACAGCAAAATTTGGAGCTTAAACGTGAAGATATGGGGAAGTGAGGTGATACGGCATCTAGAAAATCCAAAGTAAACAAAGAATCGTCGCTCCTGAGGCAACCAAGATTTTTCCGATTCAACACTAACCTTAACATCCACTAGCTGTATTTGACAAAGCTTCAATTAATATACAACTTCAGCTTGGTACAACGCGGGTTGCGACGAAACAATTCATATAATTTCTGCGCATCTGTTCAATTCTACAACAACCACTACGACTCGATATCGATACCATATCGGCAATCGGCTTCCGATTGAAACGCGGATAAAAGTTTGAAACAATTCGACATTCGATAGATAATAATACAAGCTTCCTTTGTCCTTTTTCACAATCTGCAAATATGTCGGATTCCGACCTCAATTCAAGACCGACCACACCCCTCCCGGAAGCTGGAAACGATGCTGGAGATCCAAACAGGCCCATTTCTCAAGAACGAGATACACCAGAACCTCCTGTGGCCAACCCAGATCTCGATATGGATGATTTAGATAATGCAGAGGATGGCGGCGCTGGATCCGATAATGAATCTGATCTTTCTGATGTCGATGAAGCCAATTTTGATGATTTCGATGCAAGTAAAGTTGCTTTAGATGAGAGACCCATGGTTGGTATCGATGAAGATATTGCGAAGACGTTGAAGGCCAGTAAGCGCAAGCGTGCGGAAGGTGAAGCAAAGAAACCAAAGGAAGGAAAGCGAGACAAAAAGAAGAGGCCGCGCAGAGACTCAGATGAGGATCCCGATGGAATGGAGATTGATGGAAAGAGAATCAGAAAGCCCAAGAGAGTTGAGGGTGAGGGAAAGGATAGGGACAGAACCAAGGAACGAAGAAAGGCAACACCAGAACCAGAAAATGATGAAAATCTTACGCCAGATGAGAGGAGACGTAGAGCTTTGGATAAGGCTATGGATGCTGCGCTTAAGAATCCAAACAAGAGAAGAAGAAAGAAGGACGAAGTGGTATGTACATGTTTTCTGTCGTGAAAGATATTGAATCTAACTTTGTGGCAGGATTTGGAAGAAGCTTTTGATGATGAAATTGCAGCTTTGAAGCTTCGAATGGAAGAAGCATGTCAAGCCGATAATGCTGCTCGAGATGCCAATTTACCCGCAACTAGAAAGCTTGAAATGTTACCAGAAGTGGTCGCGCTTCTCAACAGAAACACCATTCAACATTCCATCGTCGACCCCGATACCAACTTCCTGCAGTCCGTCAAGTTTTTCTTGGAACCACTAAATGATGGAAGTCTTCCGGCATACAATATTCAACGTGATCTCTTTCAAGCACTAGCGCGTTTGCCGATCGAAAAGGAAGCACTTCTAAGCAGTGGGATTGGTAAGGTCGTTCTATATTACACGAAGAGCAAGAGGCCAGAAATTCAAATCAAGAGAATCGCTGAAAGATTATTGGGAGAATGGTCACGACCAATTTTGAAGCGAAGTGACGATTATAAGAAGCGTAAGGTCGCGACAAAGGATTATGATTTCCAGTATGTATATTCAATTCAACACATGTTGTATCTACTAACATCCACTTCAGAGCCGCACAACTTGCGATCCGTCCTTCCGGCTCTCAATCTTCGCAAATGCCTTCCTCCCAAAGAACACAACTCACGGCTCGTGATATTGAGCGTCAACGTCTTCTCGCACCAAAAGTCATTAGCAACAGAGCTAGAATGGAAACTTCAAATACCAGTTATTCGATCGCTCCTAGAAGTAACTTCGACCCAAGTAGAGGGTTGGATCCATCTTCCAGACCTATTGGTGCGGGTGGTGTAGACGCTTTTAGAAAGATGACGGCGAAACAGGGGAAGAAGAGGTAATAAGGTTGACTGTGCAGCTATGACGATCGTGCTATTCAGGGGACTTGTATTATTGAATGAAGGGAGAAAGGAAGGTATGCAGGGCGTTTGTAACTTCGTCGGAATGCTAACATAAAGGACGTTTCACGGGTATCATAGGAAGGAATTAAGAAAAAACGAAAGAAAGATAATCATGCATACGCGGCATATACTAGGTAGTCATCTTAATCAAGGGTCCACAAAATTGAGAAATTCAAAACATCTATCCATCTCCTAGCGCATGTACTTGAATTTTCGTTTTCTTGTTCCCCGAGTGCGAATTGGAAAGTCGATTCGAGAATCAGATGATCCTCAGGAGATACTCACATTATACCCTGTAAGAAAATTCGGGTCCGAAAACGTCTTGAAGAGAATTATTGACACATGCAAGGTCGCCGTTTCATAACAATAGGTGGATGGATAAAGGATATAAAATACAACGTCTCATCGCATCGCATCGTATCGCATGAAATTTCATCTAATATTACAGTACCTTAATAAGGTAACGAACGATACCAGTTCCTCGTCTGTAACATTGTTTAAGCCCCCTTTTTATACCGCACGCTTCGTATAGAATGAAATTCGTTTCTTGGAACAGAATGCATCTCCTGAATAGCTATCCACATAGGCGAAGTCCGTCTTACGAAGTGTGAAGAGCTGAAGGTTGGGAAGATGAGGGGATTGTGAATAACGTGATTCGGATGCGAGGGATCCGAAAGTTACCTATGAAGCTGTTGGGAGGGAGGTGCATTCCGTAGTTTTCCGATGAAGGGTTATGGGCATAGTGGGTCTTATAATATGGTGGATGTTTTTTGTGTTTGGTATTTGCGTGGTTGGCTGCTTCCGCAGTTTTAGCGCCGGTACTTGCTTTCGGCTTTTTTAGCTTGCGTGCTTGTCTTACTGACGTGATGGGTGAGAGGGTGGCGTTAAAGTTGCAGATTGGAGGAGTACTACTCGAATTGCGGATGTGCGGATCACTTGCATTTTTGAACTAATGCTGCGCGGGTCGGGCCAGTTCTTGGCTAAGTAGAGATTAGGGAGAAATGGATGTCATGTATGTCGGTAACTGCTAGCGGAGTCATGGATGGCAGTATGACATGGTGAGATGTAGGTAGTCTGTGTATATGTGGGAGCATGGACAAAAGGATGCTATTATTAGGGGATAGACAATAGCAGTTTGTTGGGTGTTGATCGTTAGATGAGCTCTCGGGTATTTTTGCATTCTGTTCGTTCCAGTGTTAGAGCGGAGAAACCTTGAGAGGAGATGAGTATCTCGGCTTTGCTAGGGAATTTGGAAGATTAAAAGGGAAGCATGATTCTCAGCATAGAGGCTTAAGACGACGAACTCGGCTTGATGGCTGGTAAAACGTCTAAATCTTTATTTCTAGCACTAGAGTATTCATTGCTGTATCGGCTTGAGTTAGTTAGTCAACGACAAGAGCACAGTATCACCATTTGAATAAAGTAATCACAAAAACTAGTAGATGCGGAGAGAGAAAATATGCTTGAGAATCTAATTTAGATTTTATTTTGATTTTTCTTCATCAAAATTTCCAGCGAACAAACAACTGTACTGAAATTTCTGAAAATTTTGTAGAAATTCCCAGGTATCCTTCTGCTGTTGCGCTTAACCCATCCATTCCTTTCCCTTTTCATCATTATTCCATAACGCCTGTTCCAAAGTATCATGAAATTTTCGATTTTTTTTCCTGGAAAAAACCGCTCCAGACACCATTCGTTCTTTTACAATTCTTGCTCCTTCCAAGTTTCCATTACCCCCTCCAACTTCAACTTGTAGAACTCGCAGCACTCATAATCTACGAGCCCCACACTAGCGCTCACGATCCATATCTCCCTCTCTGCATTCCGTTGGTTTGTTGCGGGCCCCCATTTTGGGACTGACTGGACATGACCAACATTTCAAAGGCTTCGATGCGGGATTTGAGAGCTGCGTTTTCTTTTTGAAGGTATTTGTTGCGTTTCTCGAGGTGGTTGATGTATTCTGTTGCTTTAGATAATACAGTTGCCTGTTAAATTTATTAGATTCCAAGTTTCATCAAATCAGATTTCTGAACGAGCATACCTTATTTAATTTATGTGCTGGTGTTAAACCTTGCAAATCTTCCTCCTCATCATCCCCATTAATATGCTCATCGCCATCTTCCTGTCCCCTCGAACATTTTCTGGTCATTACTCTCAAACTAGGTACACTGTCCCTTAGTAGAGCAATCTTATCATTCAAGTTCGTTCGGTATCGCTTCTCGATCATGTTATGGGCGGTCTTCTTGATGGGTGGATGACGGGCGGGTACCTCATCTTCACCGTCGGAATTTGAATCTGAAGAACAAGCTGATGATTTGCGTTTCAAGTTATTAGAATGATTTGAATTTGACATTGACTGGCGTGTGGGTCTGGAGATTGGAGAATGCGATGGCGAACTTCTGGATGAGGTAGGAGAAGTGGGATATGCAGAGGTGTTTTGAGTTTGTTGAGGCATAGCAATAGCGCGAAGTTGAATTTCTTCTTGGGGGGTGAGAGTACGGTTATAGAGTATAGGCTGCTGCTGAAGATTGGGGATGGTTTGTGCGCGACGGAGGTTAATATTTGAGTTCATTTGGGGTCGTGCCCAGGATAGAGGAGTGGAGTATAAACCATCCCTAGATGGAATATCGATCATCGGCGAATTCATGAGATTGCTTGGTGTGGGTTGAAACAGTTGTTCTCCTGCGTCGACTAAATTATCGTCACCGAATACTGCTGCTTCGTCGATGCTAGAAAGATTGCGGGAGAGCTCGAGACCGCTCATATTAGGCGAGAGAGGCTCAATTTTGAGTTCTGGGAAGAAATCTGACGTAGGTGACAAGGCTGCTTCACTTGGGTCGTCCCAACGCATCCAATCCTCGAAGGTACCAAAGTCAAATGCTTGACCTGTGGATGACTTGCGGTTGGTATTTTGGAATGGTTCTTCTTTTGGGAGTATGTAAGAAGGTTTGGAAAAAATCGGGTCGGATGAGGTTGGTGATGGAAGAATGGAGTCACAAGAGTCTGAGTTGTTGACGAGTGCAGGCTCACTATCCCAATTAAATGGGGAAGTACTCTGCTATAAGAACTGGCTGTCAGTCAATGCTGCAGTGGAGTGATTGTTGAAGAGAAGACGAATAGAAAGCAACTGCAAGAGGTGGAGTTTATCCACATGACATATCCGAAAGAACCGGGTAACTTGAAGAAGTGCTCGCTTCGTAGCCATCATTGACTTCATGATGTTTTTGTATTGAAGGAATTGTATTCTACTTACTTCAGTTTGCTGCCGTGACAATGAGAAGTAATCGACGGCAGGCTTCTGGCAAATAACACTTGCCATTGGGGAGATTGATGATACCAGTTTGAAGTTTGAAGTAAGTCGAAACTTACACCTTGATAGTTATTATAGTTAACTGGAGCTCTGAAAGAATATATCGGAGGCTATGTTGTTAAGGGAATGCCGAGGTTGTTAATACAAAGCCCGACAAAGGAAGTGATTGTGAGTAAGGTATTTGATAATATGGACGATGTAAAGGATTAGGTATCCTTGAAGTCAAATAACGTGTTCGATTTGGTGATTGTTTGATATCTTTATGATCTGGTTGTGACGTAGAAATGTTGGTAGTATTTGGGGTATGGACCTTTAAATAGAATGGTAGAGGGGGGTGAATCCTCACAATTTTGATATAAAATTTGAAAAGTATCAATTTCTCGGAATGACCATGTGGTAAGAAGACGTTTCCAAACTTTCAAGCCTCAGTACCGGTTCATCTTCGTTATCATACGAGTATCACGATTTGTATGATGTGATGTTAGAATGAATTGTGGAGATCGAAGCCGAATCCAGACTTTATTTTTGTTCATTGAACGTAGGCGGGGGACTCCGGCAACATTGGAAGGTAAAAAGATGTAAGAAACAATTTGAGAAGCAACAGAGAAACAACTGGGCACTGCTAGAATTAATGTATTGGACGGGCAAAGGCAATTAGATGGAATAGAATGGCAAGCCTAGTATTGAGCATATAGTAGCACCAGAATAGTAATAGATAGAAATGCATCCAAGGGTTCATACTGCATCAACATGATTCGATAGGAGATCTGCATTTATGCATCAATATCAAGCTTCCCAAGCTCCTGAGCAAGCACGAGAATGAATCAATCAACAAATTGGGCAATTCATGGTTGAGTTGCTTGGATATTTCGGAATTAGATGTGCGCATACCATCCCCAATCCCGTATGGATATATCCAATTCCGTAAAGCTCCCCGAATGTCATCGAGACCCCACAATGGAGCCGTGTCTATGACTGACTCTGTGTGTGGTTTGCATAGAAGAGCAAAGCGTTGATTGGGTACTTCAAAAGGTTGTATACTCTAAGGATGAAGTTATGAGGGCGAGGCACATGCCTTCGGCTTCTCTTTGAATGAAAATCGATGGATATTACTTGGATTAGAAACATTGTCGACCTCGAAGTGTGTTAGGATGTAACTTCTTAAATGCCATAACTGACGAGAATTTCATATAATGGGCTGATTTTCTGATGTTTTCATGCACGTTCCTCAATTGAAACTAGGAAGAAGTAAAAAAGAACTGGAGTGGCTAGTCTAAACCAACCGCTTCGATCCTAATTCGTTTAGTTATGTAACCTAAATCCCCTTATTGATAGAACGGACCGAGCCGAATCAGCCTTAATTAACTGTTCCGGGTGCTTATTAAGGACCATTTTATCCTTACAGTCCTTACGGACGTTGACTGCCGCTTCCACATGTAAAAGGTGTGTGAAAGTGTACAGTGTACAGAGTTCCACCAATCACCCTCATTCTATATATGGTTGTCACATCAATAAGTTGCTAACAAGAGTAACATTGCATCAAAGCAGCATTAATTCGAAATAGCGGGAAGCTTTTGAAGATCCCCAGGAGTACAAGGGTACGCAGGGAGAACTTCCAGATTCTATAAATCTCCGATGTATATCGACACATGTTAACGTCATCCCTTACTCAATATGTATATCTTGCCTACTCCTCCAAGATTTCAGGAACGAAGTAACGGTTATCATCGACGATGAGAGTTAACTATCAAATCATACATCAATACAGCATAGCACGAATTTCACATTTGGATTTATGTTAGGGGAGCGAACACTTTCAATGACAATCCTTCCTTGAAGAGTCGCTCGTGCAGAATCGTGCATGTTTTCCGGGGTTCAATAGGCTCTCATCTAAACCATTCTGGTAATTATATGCGCATCCGGAATTTGCTTTCCAGCCTTCCGTTATTAAGTCTGTTTTTTCTAGACCTTCCGTTCGGCTCAAGTTCCTTTTCACCGAACATTGAAGTGCATATGCTCTTGAGGTGTGGAGGAGATATTGTGATGACCACGAGTGTTTGTTGTTTTCACTCCGGATTCCAAGATTTTGTTCAAGCGTCATGAAATGGTATCGGCACTCATTGAATACGTTGTCTAGTGCCGTCTACGAATAGTTCATCAAGTTGATGAGGTCACTACATACCATAACTGCACACCGCCTACGCAGTGCTCTCGTCGTCTTGCTGTGCGAGGACCCCGAGACCGTTTGCTTGTTACCCCGCATTTTGTCAAACCATCATCGCAATATATTCGCCCCTTATCTTGCTGGAAAAATCCCAAATCAATGGTCCTGCTCCAACGGTTAATTACATTATCTGAGCCTACTTTTTCACCACGGATGCCTGCACGACCCTTGTTGGACAGAAGTGCCTCTTCGTAATACACTTTTCTCTGAATGTTTAATCATGGGACTATCAAAATCAAGTCGATAGTGTAAGCCTCATCCTCTTTCAGCCTTCTCATGCATTGTTATGTCGGAAACGCAGTGCTACCATGTCACAAGAAGCTCAAACATGGACTTTTTGATACCAACGTCATGGACTTCTGACTTTGCAGTTCATCCCTTCCACAGTGTGCGAATCTTTACGTTGCTGTGAGACAATACTGAACCAATATACAAACAATCAGTAGTTATGCCGCGAAACCCCGACATACTAGCCGCGTTTGACAGCGTTTCAGTAACGTCAATATAGTATTGCATGAGAGTTCTTCAGGTTAAATTGCAACAGACTGGGCGGCGGGGTTTGCTTGACTTTCACGAAGACAAAATCCTGTGAAATTTTACGGAATTTTTCCAGGATTTCTTGCAAAAGTAGCTAGCGGGATTCGCCCCCACTTCTGGAGCGGGAGCCAGCAGTAGCTCCGTACTAACAGTATGCAGAGTATTCAGGCTTAAAGAAAATGGCGGGGATGAAGAAAGCCTTCGTTTGAAATTTTGATAATAGGGGATTTGCTTGCTCCGCCGATGGTGTTCGGAGACTCGCAAGTCTTTCGGGATGTTTGATGTTCGGTATTCATGGATCAGGTAACTTTTCGGTGAATTTTGGTGAAAGCTCCAGTGGGGCTGGGTGTGCTCATTGATGAGGCGCACTAGGGATTTGCAAACGATCGAAAATAGCTTCGGAAGGTGTATGATGAAAGTACTTAAGGGCACATTCTCCACTTCAATATTTCTGGAGACGTTTGTTTTCGAGGCTATCAGACGAGATGTCGCTGTTGCCCAATAAGGAGGCTAACTAATAATCCAGTAAACTCTCTTTGTTACACGTATAACGACCGTCTTGCACTTCCATATGCAAATGAAAGCGTTCCAAAATCTATCCGCAGCACTATTGGCGTACTAGATAGATGTCTATAAGATACATCAGATGAACTCTGTCGATGATTGAACTTGGAGATGATCGATTTCAAACAGGAATGAAGCTTTCGGTAGGATCTCATATGTGTTGCGATGGAACATAGGTCGTGGCCCGCGTTTACCAACTTTTGTCTGCTCAAATGAGGTAGCTTCAGAAATTGAAACGGATCTTTTCAGTTTCACACTCTGGTGAGATGTGGTATGTGAAGTGGCTTAAGTTTTCTACATTTCATGGTGAATCGTAAGTAGTGGTCGTACTTCCTTCGAGACAATCTAGATTGAGACATCAGAAATTTTTGATACGGGTCGAAATAACTTTCCCGAGACATCTCAAGTTCTACCGATATACGTGTTTTCTTTATTGTTTAGATGATATCTATCCGGTACTTACTTGTATTTCCACTACACAATTCACAAATGGCCCGCTATCCAAGTTTCTCTAGAATTTCTAACGATATTGTGAGCGAACTTCCTATACATTAATATCAGACAATGTCTGACAGACATTCAGATATTCAGACATGTTCCTCTCTGGAACACCATCAAAAAGAAGAGAGGAACAAAAAGAAAGTTAGAAAGACATTTATAAAGTTACAAAACCATTTTAGTCAAGGTAGGGGTTAACGTAAGAGCTCGACATAAGGACATTCTATATTACCTCTCAGGCCATCAAATTGCTCTGGTCGTTTCCCGTCAGACAACAACACACCTCTATATCTTTAGGGGCACAGAGATTTAACAATGTTGTTCTTCCTACCAACATAAATGAAGCTCCAGATTCCATGGGAGACAAAAATATTGAACACCTATAGACACCGAAACTAAAGAAGATGTGTCAAAGCGAGCACTCGAACTTTCAATTCTCACACCACTTCCTGTTTCCTTGTAGGAGACTAGTAGCATTGGCTAGCATTGAACAGTGAATATAATAAGATGATACCGCCTGTAGGATATCCAGAGCTGGAGGTATTTTTCGGAAATTCGAACAAACCTAGATCATAGCTGGCGAGCAAACCCTAACGAATGAGGGAAAATAGAGGTCCACAGACCCCACCAACAACGAATGCACTTCGGCTTTTTTCGACAGCAACATACAACAATGATGAGATGTATAGATGAATGTACTACTACTTTCCCTTGGGATAAAAAATGAGACCTGTAGCAAAAGATCGACGACTAATGACTAGATCTCAATCCCTGCCAAAGTCGAAGAAAATGACAAAACTTAATGCCTTGCGGCACTTTGTATGACCAGACTGGGGCACGATCCCAGGACCTTGTCCGTATTTAACAGGTGTTAATTGTTAAGGACACGTGATAACCAACTACACCATCCGGCCTGTTTGTATACTGAAGTGAGCGGAATTTTGAAAATATATACTCAGTTAAGTTGGAGTGATTGAAAACCCATACTGTATAGTTTGTGGATTTGGTGGGGCAGAAAAAAAGCGCAGATAGTGGGGTCGTCTCGGCTCAACCCCTTCATTTTCTCGGTAGTCTAATTTTTTTTCATCAGAATTTTCCAACAAGTCAAAACACCACAACCCAAAACCCAGAGTTTTACTTTAGGTCTTGGGTTTGTCTATCTTCTTTTCTCCACCTTTCTTTGTTTGCTAAAACATATACTGACTTAAACATCACTCGGCATACAACATCACAAGATTTCCCTGCTGGCGCAATGGTAGCGCGCAAGACTTCTAATAGGAACTTCTATTCCTTAAAGATTATCTTGAGGCTGTAGGTTCGAGCCCTACGTAGGGAGTTACCCTGAGTATCATCGGTTTGAGTCCGTTGCCAGAAATCTACATTTTTCCCCTTTTTTACCATTTTTTTGGTAGTTTGATAACTGGCCCTCGAGGGGATATCAGTGAAGCGCTCCACGCCATGATTTCGTCGATTTGTATGAAGATGCATGTCAGAATAGAACTAGAGTTTCCATTAGTTCCTAGTATAGAATTTTAGAGCAAAAATATGTCAAGTCAATTTTGTTCTTATTTTTGTATGTAGGTCAAAAAATAGAATTACCCCGCGCTAGGCAAAAAAAGTTTCCACTTCCAACACAAAAAAAAAACTGCGAGAATAAACTTGATGAGAGTGGGATTCGAACCCACGCCTATTACTAGACCAGGAGATTGTAAACAACCGTTTGTTAAGAGTTAATCACCTTAACCTGGCGCCTTAGACCAACTCGGCCATCTCACCGTATATGTTGACGACTGATGGAGGTTTTGAATATATATACAAACTATTCACTGTTGGTGGAGAAGAGGGGGGCTGCCCCACTTGTTCATTTGATGATGATCCATATCTTTACTACGATCCAGCCATTCTGAAAAGATTGGAGATCCCTTGATTGTTTGGTATTGAATGATCGTCTAGATAATCTCATCTTTTAGTGTTGTAAATGGAGTGGTATATTTCTGTATTTGACGTTATTTAGTGGAAAGATCTATGGGAGAGGTTATATGGACCTAAGTTAGCAAATTCACTATTCATCTAATCATCTAATTACAAGCAATATAAACTTCTAGCCATCATATCATGTAAACGTAAAGAAAGACAACATTTTTTTATTAAGCCATATCATATAGCAGATGTATTCGTAATCCAAGTCTGGTGTGCCATTCATTGCTCGTACACCATGAGGAAATCTTCCCTTCACATCTCGACTCTGCCACAATCAAGCTTGCGGCTGTTTATATCCATATCAATGATATATGGCGGATTTTAGAAATTCTTGAGTCCTGGAATATATGCGATGTCATAGGTTTCTGTAGTGAATAATTTGAGGTCAACATTTGCTGTTCACTGCGGTGAAATCACGACATTTAGGTTGCCAGAAGAACCAAAGATGCTGGCTAATAGTCCTTGTTCGACTTGACAACAAGGGAGGCATGCACATTGAAATCTGGGAAGCTATGCCGGGTATATTTTAGCCCAGACATGTGTCCTAATACCAGCGCCTGCATCACATATCAACTATGTCTAAGTTTTTCGGTCTTGATGTTGACGAACCAGGAGATAACGAATCTCCTTCTCCTTCTGAGGCAAGTTATCAGAACAATGATCTATCATACCCATCAGCATACAAAGCCGGTCGAACTCACCATGTCCGAGATTCACCAAGATGATGGCGCAATATCCGTAGACTATATTTCCAAGGTTCCGCTTTGTATTTACAATAATCCTCATATGAAGCAGGCCGTAACATATTCAGACAATGCAACTGAATCCACAAATCGATATATGTGCGGTACAGAATTTTAGTGGCAAATCATGAAGCACGATTGAGAAGGTCGAAAGTTCTGTTCATGCATCACATGTCCAATAGTCCCTAGATCTAATACTCCCTTCCCTTCCATCGAACCGAATATCGTCAAAGCTAATCAAGTCGTCAACACCAGTTCCTCGAAATATAAAGGTAAAGCTACATGGTCGATAGGATTTGAGAAGTACTGCAGTCATTCTCCCCACTGTTGGGTCTGAGCATGAGGATTGGACATTACAATTCGGACGGATATGCGAGACAGTTGGTCGACTTATACGGACCTACACTTTAACCTTGACGGAGATTCTTTCATAGTTTTGAAAAATGAAATTTGATTCCCCATCATGTAGATCGATATCTAAAATCCTTTGCGCTGTTTGAAAGCTACCCCAGTAAATGCCCCCGATTTTCTTCGTTTCCTGTTCCTGGGGACCTAGTGCATCACATCAATTTGTACCTTGTTCCACTTGACACCGTATCTGCATGAATGGAGGTGTTTTTCCATCGTTAGTCATGCAATTGCGGAGACCAATACCATTACCAAAATCTTAAGGTATGGTCTGTATGTAATCTATGGCATCAGAGACCGATGATCATCTGGTGAATTTAACCAACCGTAGTACGCATACAGTAATATGTGATCCAACACTTACCTAGTTACAGTACCTTTTTAAATATTACATTGGACATTACAGATCACATACCAGGAAATAGTTTTATATTATCTCACACGGAGGGAAACATGAAGTAGAGTTCGCTCCCTTATAGAATTTGTCGAATGGTTATGCATGTGTGTTGGTAATTGTGTGATGTGAGCGTTCTAGGTCAATGCATATCCTGATCTCAATAAGTTGTCAAAGGCAGATTGGAAGTTGCAAGTAAGTAGGTATGCTTTGCACTATATTCCATGCAAATTTAAAGTCCGAACCGTTAACTATGAGTGTTGAAACCCGCAAAGATGACAAGGTAGCTTACCAGCGAATGTGTGCATTCACTTTCTAAACCTTGGTTGTTGCTCATAATATTTGCATACTCGCGCGATTTCTTCGGGATAGTATGCGATATTAGATATATGACAGGAAGAAGATGGGTAAAGACCAGAGAAATGTAACGATTGGTACTGAAACCGCTGGAAGGAGTTTACAGTAGGCGGTATCGTCAAGATCCGAAACTTACGCGGGAAAATTCTGTAAGTGACAAGTTGACAATAATTCACATGTTAAAGGATGAGCAGCTATTGGCTCAAAGTCCAATGGTATGCTCAGAGTCAAAATCTCCACAAACCATCTATATTCTGGCCCCCTACCCAGAGGTTTTGATATACTTGCTTCGATTCTTTGCCGGAAACATCCACATACAGCCTCTAAGAAAATTGGGATATTCATCAACATTCTATGACGAGAGAATCTTATTATTCTGAAATTACCAGGGACAAGAAATTCAAGGTTTACAGAAACCGGAGAACATGCTTTAAAATTCATGATAGCATTCAAGAAGTAAAATCCTAAAATCTATGGGATCAACATACCAATCTATGTCGAGTGTAAGAAGATCGAGGATGTGAACAGAGCAGTTATGAAATGAATATGTAGTTTGAGAAATGAAAGCGAATAGGTAAAAATGACATATAAATAGTATCTAACAGTTCTAATGAAAAGAGAAGCATCAAGGAGCTTCGCTTGAAGCTTGTAGTGGAGCTGGAATCGCCGACCATCTTCGATCTTCCGTAAATGGTGATTCTTTTGTAATTTAACAACCTTGATATAAGTACACCGCTTGGATTATAGACCAGGCAAATATACATCGCTGAAGATTTCCTACCAAAGTCAGGCATAAACCCACATCCTCAAGTTTCTCATAAGCATTATAATGTGAATACGCTCAAAATCCACAGATAAATACATCCCGAATAATAAAAGGACACCCAATTCGCCAATCTTTGTTCTGTTCTTATCCACAACGCCTATACCCAAATATCTTTCCCACCTTTCAGCCTAGACTTCTACGATCTCAAGGCCCTTAATCTTTCGCCCAATCCATCCTCCTCTACTTCAGTTGGATTAGATTTGACTGGGGTAGCCGCTTCCGGACTCTTCATCTCTTGATTCAACTCAATTCCAGCCTCATCCGCAACTTGGTTCATCAATCTATCAACATCTTCTTGAGGAGTGGCTACTGCTGTTGCCGATGTAGTTGCATTTTCGTAATAACCGGTTGCTACATCTAAATCTTCGAATTGTGTCTCGAATCGATCCATTACTGCCGAGATCTATAGATTTTATATTTTGTCAGTTAAAGTTAAAAGTGGGGTTGGGTGCAGAGATCTGATGACTGATAGAAGGGAAACTGACCTTTTCCAAATCCATAGCTTTCATAGCTTGATCCATCCCCCTTACTACATTCGTCATGCTGCCGGTGACTTGTCTCATGGTAACAGCTGTCTGTACTCTACTGGCCACGGCATCGATTCTGCTGGCTAATCTTAGTAGATTCAATTTCTCATTTTGTTTGCGGATGGCATTTTCGGCATTGATTTTTGCGATATCGGGGTGGCCTTGTTGGATTGCCTGTAGAGTGATGTTAACGAGCTGTATTTGTATGGATATGTGTGAGACGGAAAGGCGCAATGTACCTTCTTGAGTTTATCCTTCTCGGCTTTTTCCGCTTGTCCAGCTTTGTTGGCTTGTCGGTTGATTTGTTTTGCGGTGAACTGAATATTGAGTTAGTTTGAGGCTATATATATGCGCAGAACAGTTGACGTTGAAGAGCGATCGATGTGCGATGTTGGGGGAAAGATAAGCAGAATGACGTACCTTCAAATTGAAGAGGGCTTTCTCGAGTCCTGACATGATGATAATGAATGGTAGATATGATCTTCAAAAGCCGCAGAATGTGTTTGTAAGGGTATCGCGATGACAATAGACAGAATTTGGATGGATATTTTGTCGATGGATGGAATTCTACCTAGCCTTGCGAACTTGGATCTTGCACATGTGTGACGATTGCGGGGGCGCTAGGCTTAACCTTAGATTGCTTAGTCATTTAAACTTTAGATATGCATGCGAAGGAAACCTAAACCCCTCCATTCATGGAAAAGTGTTGACGTCTTGTATGTCTTTCTAGAAAATCATATAATTCAATTGTATTGATCTACATATTTATCCACCAAGGGACTTTCTATCAACATGCTTCCAAAACCAAAGCTTAACGTTCAAAACTTTCCACGTCCACCTCTCCTTGAGAAAACATCTCGTCATCTCGTTATAAGATATCGAGGTCAAACCATTGCTGAAACAAGTGATGCATATTGGGTTTTGGAAACATATCATTCGCCCAGTTAATACCCCTTTTCCATTCATGACCACTCCAACCTCTCTCTTCTCTCAATCCATAACCTAACACAAGAACAGCATACTACCTCCCCGCCACATCCCTATCTCCAAAGTTTCCTCTGACCCCCACCAACAAATCCACTTTTTGTGAATACAAAGGATGGGCCACATACTACTCGATCTCATTACCTGCACCTTTCTCCCCTTCTCCTGCCTCTTCTTGTCCTTTTGAAGACCAACTAAAATCATCCGAGCCACGAAAGCATGAAATATCCAACAGGATATGGTCATATGAATCTCCTACACCTCAGTATGCTGATTTGAAAGGTTATTTGAGTTTCTATGCTGGACCATGGGATTGTTATGTGGATGGAGAGAAAGTTATACCACAACCTGGAGACTTTTATGGTGGTTGGACTACGAGTGAGCTCGATGGCATCATTAAAGGGAGTGCCGAGACAAGATGGATGTGAAGTCGGGGGCTGTAAAGATATATTCAGATAGGATGTATATTTTGGGCGTTCTGGTGTGTCACTCAGTGAGATTTGCGAATAATCATGATATAATACGCCTCAGCATGGATACTTGTTAGAGTGAAGCTGAACATGCATACCATAAATGTTTGTCCAGTCAGTAAAATCCAATTTGAAATGGTTGACCCCTTATGAGATCGGTACTATCCGAGGCGAAGACCCCTCAATCTTCATGACATTTTACATCTATGAATAAAAGTCTAATATCCGATCTTTCAAATTCATATGGAACACTGTTGACAAGTTCTTGGTGAGCTACTTCAAAGCAGTAGCATGGCTGAAGGTTTTTAAGATACTTTTACTTTATCAGCAATCATTTGATACAATGGCTACATAATCTACAAAACACAAATTCATGGTGAGCTGGAAAACATTTAGAGAACTACCGAACATCATACCCTCAACTACCTAATTGATAAGTCAAGTATTGGAGCGCAGGTTAGGAACTATCATCTCATGGCAAGTTGACTTCATTCAGTCAAGCAATTTGTCTCTTTAAATCTTTAAATCTCTCAAGTCTTTCCACTTCTCAAATCATTCAATTGTGAATATCCTCAGTTTCTTCCTATTTATCTATACGCTAGTTTAACCTATACAGAAATCCAGTTCATAGACCAATACCCCGTAACAAATCACATCACACATAGACAGGCATTTTCATTACACAAAACACACAATCAATTAAAAGGTAACTCTTTATATATTCTCTCAAAGGAAAAATCTATAATTACAGTGTTGACAAACACTTTTTCTTTTCAATTCCTCAACCATTACTCATGATCATATTACGATCCAGCATACCCTCCCAACCCTCGTGTGTACCGTGTACCATGCCAGACTGGCGTAACGTCCATAAAGATGGAACAAAGCTGATTATGTTTTTCCTCCAAACAGAAAATCAGGTGTGAGTGAAATAATGAAATTGGTATCGAATTGAACGCCTCCCGGACTTGATGCTATGCATGATTTTTATGATCGTGCTTAAACAAAAATGAAATGTGAATGAGATCGAATCGATTGCTTACAAAGCAAAGATGGCGACAAGAGCAGCGGCGATGAGTCCACCAAAGCTGCTAGTGCTCTTGATGGCGCTGCCAGTGAATGGAACGGTGGCCGAAGTGGTAGCGGCAGGTGGAACATTGGTAGCTCCTGCGACACCGGAAACAACCTTGGTGGTGCTTGATGGAGCAGAGGTGGTATAACCTGCGGCTTGGGAAGCAGCAACGGTACCTGGGATAAGAGCAACGCTAGGTGTTGCTGATCCAACTGCTGGAGCAGTAGAGAAAGCGACTTGTGGAACAGTGATAGCGGTGGAAATAGTGGTTGTGGTGGATGAGGATGGAATGACTGATCCAGAGAGGGAACCGGTAGACTCAGTGCATGGAACAACCAAAGTGGTGCTAAGAGTAACAGTGGTAACTGGGGTAGAAGCGACACCTTGAACAGATGAAGTAGCGACGGCACTGGAAGCAGCTGGAACATAGACGGTAGAAGCAGCAGTAACAATAGCTGGGTTGGTAGAGACGTGAGCGGCACAGATACCTTGGAGGTACTTTTGAGCAGCATCAATGTCAGATGAGGAGATACCATATGCAGAAACACATCCAAAGACGCTGTTAATGAATGCAGTATCTGGGCAGTAGCAGTCTGAATCAGTGTTGGACTCACAACCGACCAAGTACATCCAGGTGTTCAAGCATTGTGGCAAGACATCTGGGCATGCAGCGGTCTCAGTTGGGGTAGTGGCAGAAGCGGTGGTAGTAACACCTTCAACTGAGCTGGCTGGGGCAGTAACAGTGATGACACTGGAAGTGACAACAGTAGAAGAAGATCGGACAGTCGAGGTGGTTGAGGTGGTCTCGAAGCTGGTAACTCCTCCAGTGGTGTGGGTCAAGGTAACTGGGCAAATAGTGGTAGATTCTTGAACAACGACAGTGGTGTAAGCAGTGGTTTGAACGCTAGTAGCACTTAGAGCTGGCACAGATGTAACACCTTGAACAGTTGAAGAAGCGGCACTGGCTGGGGCAGTGACAGTGATGACACTGGAAGTGACAACAGTAGAAGAAGATCGGACAGTCGAGGTGGTTGAGGTGGTCTCGAAGCTGGTAACTCCTCCAGTGGTGTGAGTCAAGGTAACTGGGCAAATAGTGGTAGATTCTTGAACAACGACAGTGGTGTAAGCAGTGGTTTGAACGCTAGTAGCACTTAGAGCTGGCACAGATGTAACACCTTGAACAGTTGAAGAAGCGGCACTGGCTGGGGCAGTGACAGTGATGACACTGGAAGTAACAACTGTGGATGAAGAGCGAACAGTAGAGGTGGTCGAAGTGGTCTCAAAGCTGGTAACTCCTCCAGTGGTGTGGGTCAAGGTAACTGGGCAAATGGTGGTGGATTCTTGAACAATAACGGTGGTGTAAGCAGTTGTAGCAAGGCTGGTTGCGCTAGTGGTTGCGTGGGAGGAAACTGGGGCAGTTCCAACAGATGTACCGATAATGGAAGAAGCCTTGGAGGAGGATGGAGCGGATCCGGAAGAAACTGGGCAAGCAGTTTGGCCAGAGAGAACGGCACCGGAAGAGACACATGGGGCAGTGGAGGAGGCAGCTGGGGAAGAAACAACGGATGTACCGATGATGGAAGAAGCACCAGATGAAGCTGGGGAAGAGGCACCTGGGGAGGAAGCAGCTGGGGAAGAAACAACGGATGTACCGATGATGGAAGAAGCACCAGATGAAGCTGGGGAAGAGGCACCTGGGGAGGAAGCAGCTGGGGAAGAAACAACGGATGTACCGATGATGGAAGAAGCACCAGATGAAGCTGGGGAAGAGGCACCTGGGGAGGAAGCAGCTGGGGAAGAAACAACGGATGTACCGATGATGGAAGAAGCAGCGGATGAACCTGGAACCTCAGTGGCGGTGACTGGGCAGATGGTGGTAGAAACGGCAATACTATATAATTTGTTAGATAAAACTCAGAATTTGTTAGATATATTGAACTTACACGACAGTTGTCAAAGCAGTTGATCTAGCTGGGCAGTCGGTGACAGTTTCGGCGCAAGAAATGATGGTAGAAACAGAGGTAGCGTAGATGGTAGAAGTGGTCAATTGGACAACAGATGAAGATCCAGATCCAGTGACGGATGTACCAATGATAGAAGAGGCAGAGGCTCCTGGAGCGGTACCAGCTGGGTAAGTGTGAACAGAGCTTCCTGGAGCTGTACCGGCTGGGGAAGTGTGAACAGAAGTTCCAATGATACTTGTGGCAGCACTTGAGCTTGGCTTAACTGAAGTTCCAATGATCGAAGACTTGGTAGAACCAGTTCCGACAAGGGTGTATGAAGTACCGGTGGCGGAAGGAGTGCTCTTAACTGAGGTAACCTTGTTGGAGGAAACTAAGGTAGTCTTGGAAGATTCAACAGAAGTGTACTTGGAAGATTCGCTGGAGGTGGTCTTGACAGAAGTAGTCTTGACAGAGGTCTTGGCACTAGCAGTGGTGGATGGGTGTTGAGTAGTAGATGCCGAGCTGCAGTCGAATCCAATGGAGCTAATACCAACACTGCAAGAAGCCTTACCAGTAGCAGCAGTATGTGTTTGACTTGCGGAAGAGTAAACAACGGTGACGTTCTTAGCACCACCACATTGAGAGTTGGAGATGATGGAGCCTCCACTTGAGCAACGAGAAGTTTGCTTGCAAGTAGATCCATCACCCATACCATAGTGGAATTCCAAATCACAATCGAACTCAGTAGTAACGTGAACGGTGGAGATGGAGAAAGCGGAGATGTCGCCGGAAGATCCAGATTTAGAAGAGCCAGATTTGGAGGAGCTACCGCAGGAGAATTGAGGGCATGAGCCATGGTCTGAAGAAGCTGTACCAGAAATACATTTTCCGGAAGTTCTCTTTGGGAACTTTGGGTTATCACGCTTGCCGAAAGAGTTTGAGCATGTGAATCCAGAGAAGGAGAAAGCGTCATAGTTGCTGAAAGATCCAGATGTGAGGTCGCTGAAATCCCATCCACTCTTTTGAGTTGAAGAGCACTCATTGTTGGTGTTTGAAGGACAAGAAAAGCTAGACTTGTCTGCCCATCCGGTGGCAGCAGCAAGCTGGAAGCCGGTGGCCAAAGCCGCAAGGGCGAGGGTTTGAGTCTTCATTATTATATAATAAGTTGATCAACGAGAGTTGGTATGAAACGAAAAAAATATATAAAAAATAACGAATGATTTTTTGATGCCGAAGAAAAGAGATAGAGAGTAAAGAAGTGAATGACTTTAACTCTCAAACGGCGATATAATTATAAGAGAATGAGTAAATGAAGAATCGTAATGAATGGAGTATGAATCTAACATGAGGATTCTCAGGATCTGTTATATCTTGAGAAACGGTTGGGCCATGACCTTTTCCACATAGCCTCGATCCCTTTCTTGGGGTCTTCCGTGTTGGATCACTTAGAACCTAGATGAGAACCTTGTCCCACAATCATCAAGGATTCTATAGACGAGGAGAATCTTTGAAGAAGCTAACACTGGACAAGGCCATATCCTTCCAGACCCATGCATGCGCGCGCCATTTCGTCCTTTACTTTTGGTGTGGAGTCTGAGCTTCCCTAGCTTAAAAAAATGTAGTTGGTTAAGCTGTGCCAAGATGGTCTCTGAAAAAAGGCCATGCTTGTTTAATCGAGGGGTGCAGATGCGGAAAAGAACAGGTGAAACTTGAACATGCGAACTACTGCAGGTACACTGTCCTAGTCAGGGGCAACACTTAGAGACGGGTTTATTATTCCCTCGTATTTAGTCGTGCACCGCGATGATGCCCAGAATTCGCAAGGTCAATGCTTATTGCTTACATTCAATCAGATGTAAAGTTCGGACAAAAGAAATACATATTCTTAGTATACATCCATAAATCATCCCACCTTGCTTGCTTTGGGGTCGATCTGGAGGTCAGGTAGTTCGACCTTCTTTGAAATTGTCAATATTGTATGCCTGAAGCTCGAGCGTATGTATTTCATAGTCATGATGTTCTACAGCAACATATTCATTCAGAGTATTGCAGAATTGTGACGCTCAGAGAGTGTGCCTGAATACATGCTAACACACAGCCGAGCGGCAAAGGAATGATTGGATGGTGAATATTGAAGAAGTTATGCAACGTATCTTCAGTACCCGATTCGGAACTTTACGCTTATGCAGGGTATCTGGAAGCAGTTGCCCATTTAATTTGGTTGGAGATTCAGCCATGAGGTGGTATTCGATTTGGCTTAGATCAATCAGATTAGACCCACAAATAGATGCTTACAGCGGTTCCTGATCTCAGATGATATGATCATTGGATAAATCACAATCATGATCGGATCAAATCAAGGTTGAGAGCGCCATTTAGAACATTTTAGGGGTCGATGAGCTTTTAGCTTTTGGAAAAGGTAAATTCGATAAAACGGGGTTCGTGGAGTCGATTGGATGTGATCAGTGTTTCATCATTTTTTGCACAGCCCCTCTGATGGAGCCATGGAGATCATTTAGACATCTCGACCAATCCAATGGCTTCCAAAGCTCAAGACACAAACATTAGATAAACATCTTGAAACGACCTAAATACAAATTCCCGTGTCATTGATATGAGATGAGGTAATCGATCAGGATCCGAGAAAGGATTCCCATCATTTCGTTCAGATGCCATTACAACCCATTAAGATTTGCTTATACTATGCAAAGCGGTTCAAGTTGTACTGAATGACATAACTATTCGTAACATCCTGATGATTTATATCTTTTCTTAGATATCTACTGAGCCAATGCAACATTGATCTTATCCTCCTCATCCATCAATTAACTTGAAAGCTATTAATATAATGGATGTATTATGAGGTTACAATACAGAACAGGGGGCGAGATCATACAACTCCGTAGACTCAGTCTGAAATCAGTCAAGATTATTTCTTTTTGAAAGAAAGAAAGAAAGTCTTAGCAATTAGACCCTATGTGATATCACAGACAGACGTTGAAAGAGAGTGTAGTAAATGGGCTTGGTGGGCTTGGTGGGTTCTAGAGGTCGGATGTTTTCATGACCCTGTATTTACCGCTTAGGACTCCATACAGGGCACATTGACTTTATTGGTTACTGGAAAACACTAGGATCACTGGGGTCAAAACTATCTTCTTGAGCTTGTTCTTAAAAACTGGTCCTTCAAATCTAGTTATAACTCCAAATGAATATCTCCCGAAAAGAGAAAATACAAATTACAAAGCTCATACATATCAAAACTTTGTTGTTTCGCGGCAGATCATTGACGGCCTTCGTTACTGAATGAGAAATTGCTTTTCTGGCACCGATGAGAAGTCTGGGATTATTTCAGAGTCAGGTTGAAAAAGGAAAATGCAATTCCGGCAAAGCAAACCAAACTACCCCGTGGTGCAAGAACGATACAGGAGCATATACCCGGATCTTTCGATTTCTGCGGAGTAACATTCTTTTCCATCAACTGAACGATTCTCGACAGGGAAACTTTTAGGAACTCCTGGCGAGACTCCCACTCTTATTCATCACAAACACTGAAAGGCTATACATCCCCTATAATTCACATCACATATATCCATATCTAGACAGAAAGATCCGAATCTAGAGGTTTTTCACAGCAAGACCACGTCAATTTGTGACATCCGACCCCCTTTCACAATCTTTTCACGAGTTCAATACCTCCTGGCAGGCTGGTAGACAAATGCCACCACATGAAACGATGATGGCTTGGCTCGGGAAAAAATACCGATAGGTTGTGGGGAAAACACTTTCGCATGAAACAAGCTTAGAGGCGCCATCAGAACGGAAAATTGTTTAGTACAAGTCATTCTATGCATCATCTTCGGTAGAATCGTGTCACCAGTATATGATATGGAATAAATGGCTGTTTGTGGGAGACGCCATATAAATTTGTTTCCGATCCGAGGTGTGCCGAAAGCAATGGTATGGAGGTCTGAGCAACACATTTTCTGACTCTCTACCCCTTCATTGGTTCATTTCTCTTACCGAGATATGAACAACAATAAATGCTCTCCACGTTTTGTTTGTAGACCTACATATTCCACTCGATATGCTGTCGGTGCTCCTGGAAGAGTCTTCGGATCTCTATAAGAATCAAGATAGATAGCAGCGGGTCTCAATAGCCTCGGAAGATTAACGCAATAAGGTTAGGTGCCCAGACTCACCAGAAAATTGCTTGTTGTCCCCATCCGAAGTAGCATCGGACGACATCAAAGACACAAAAAACATGGACAGTGGAGACAACTTTATCCAATACAAGACCGTGCGCGGAGGACAGCGGAAATTTGGATGGGCTATTTTTGACTATTCTTTTTTCAAGACGGGATGGTCTTTGCCGTGAACTTGAGATACCAGATACCACAGGGAAACACACATTGCCTCGACGGCAAGGTATCTTTCGAGCTTCAAGTTATTAATTTCACGTTCGTACAAAATTTATACTCAAAAGTTATGTTGATGATAAACCCATTGCATGCATAATTTAAAAAGGCTGTGCAACTTGAAACCATGACGAACACGAAGTAGTGACGAAAAGTTTCCTCTTGATTGGAGAATTGCATTGAAGTGATGTGGCAAGAAAATTCATGCTATAGCAAACGACGGAACGATATAGCCCAATCCATGCTGACTCGATATCCACAGTCCCGCTCGAGACCGGATCTGCGAACTACTCGCTTCGAGTAATGTGATGTTTGGACGTTTTGGGATCGGACATTGAATCCAACGATAGTGCGAACGTACGCGCTCAAATAGGCTTCGAGACTTTGAGTTCAGATACAGCGGTTCTCAACTTTCAAAAGCTTCTTTGAAATGCTCCGATGCCAAAGTTGCGTCTACCAATTACAGTCAATGTCAGATGAACTCAATTTTTCGGATGGAATTCATATGCCAAAAGGACTCTCTTCCAAACTGTATTTCAATCACGGCTAAGCAATCTCATCTTGGGCTTTTGTCGGACTGGGGTGATGAGGATGTCAAACAATGAAAGTTGCAACACCTCGACATCAACTGTCTTTTGATACACAAGAGCCATTCTATTAACTACAAGCTGGGATATAGGCATGAGTTTCATAGAAGACCTTTGAAAGTCAGTGCAGATACTTAAGTTTATACATATCCAACATCTACTGAAGTACGATACATTGGGCATAGCAAACTTGGTAGGATAAATTCCATGCAGAAACGGGCACATTGCCTGCCTATGTTGCGCGTAAGACTAGTTTGGAATAACTTCATGGTCCTAAACCACTTATTCAAGATCAGCCACGGCCTACTGAGTTGTCAATTTCTTCTCTCGTTATTTTTTTTGTGCTCCTCACTTTGGAATATTCTTCTTTCTCATCCCATTTAAGTCTTCATTCACTTTTGTCTTTCCATACTCTCTTGTTATATTCTTCCCTCCCTATGAAATCTAATCTATTCCATGGAACTAGAAGGAGGTAGTCTCAAAAAAGGGCTTTACCTTCCAAGATAGATGATATTGTATCGAAAAATTACGATACAAATGTAGTAAATAAGGCCAAATACTTTGAGTTCCGTCAAACTCCATAGACAAAAGCGATGCGTAAGATTCAGTTCATCTTCAAGATTCTCCGTTAGTAACTTTTGTTATCATCATCGAGTTGTATCAAGTTCTACCTTGATTGAAAGTCAAGTTTCTAATTACCTTCTCTTGGGGCTTCTTTGCTTGCATTATGTTCAGGTTTGAACTCATCTTCTTGATGCCATAGATTAGAATCCTCAACATTGGAACGTAAACTATACCAAATACTGACTCGAGATTTATAGACTTTGATCACAATGTTCAACATGCAGCACAAGTGTCAAGTCATGGACATTCGTTTACGTATTCAATCATCGTACACTATCAAAGAAGCTCATATTTTTTAGTAAGAAAAATAGTCTTAAGATCACATAGACCTAGCTATAGCTACTAAGCTAGCTGAGATTATTCTGAGAAACGTCAATTCGCTGGTTTCATCGACAGAAAATTTCTAAGTCCAACATCCAAGCCCTTGAAATGAACTTCGAACCCTCGGAATCTATTCGCTCATAGATGACTCAAGTATTCTCCCAGAACACAAATGAAGAAATTGTAGTTCGGGCCGTGGAAGTC